CCCCAAAACCCCAAAACCCCAAAACCCCTTAAGAGCGATTCATTGATAATTTGAAAGCATGTATTATGCCTGCTTAATAAATCTGTCGTAATTACTAAATAAATGAAATAAAATTCTATGAGAAATTAGTCGACAGTATCTACTAAGGAAGATTCCTCTAGAATATATACGCTATTCAAAGATTCTGACAATTTATTCAAATAAGAACTTCCATCAAGATAATTTCAAAGCAATGAGGTTAATGGAAATTATACTAATAACACGACAAATGAAAGGACAAGAGCATGATCAGAATTCAGATTAAGTACATATAATGAGCTTGGAAAGAAAATTTAGGAAATTGATCAAACTACAGAAAAAAATATCGTAACTCCAATCACATAGGTAATCATTTAATCATGCTCATAAATTTACAATGTAAATATATAGATGCTTAATGAAACAAAGATTGGACTTCATAGTAATTATGACAGCTCATTAAATTTGAAACACTCTAGAAATTATTCTAGCAATATTGTTGATTTAAAAAGTTAAAAATGAGCCTTTACCAAGTTAGTCTACATAGATAAGAAAAAGTTTGATAATACTCATTACGATACAATAGGTAGTAATTGAGATAAATCTATTCTTAGTGGAAATTTCGATAAGTAAATTTACACTGGGACTGCTTAATTTCACAATCATACATAAAATGGGATAGTAGTCTAACAACAGAAAATATACTTCAATAAAAATTTGAGTGACAAACTACAAGAATAAAGGCTAAAAAGTATGCTGCTTTATAATTAAACAACACATCAAAATTCTCATAGATAAAGCAAGAGAAATCAATTAATTTAAGAATGGAGTAGGTAAAGATCAGTAAGTCTGATGAAGGTTAGATAATACTGTGAGCAGAACTATTATGAGCGATATATTTAGATAGTAGGTTAGAAGCAGATTGAAAAAGAATAAGAAAAAGAAAGAATTAGACAGGAGGATGAATTACATAGAAAGTAGGCATTTGAAAAAATGAATGAAGAGTAATTGTAATTTTAAAATTAGACTGAGGAGAGTAACAATCAATTTTTATTAGAGCTTCAAAATAACTACAAAAAGTAAGGACTTCCATAATAAAGAATTAATTTTTTAGGCTGACTAGTAAACACAGAATGCTTAATACTATTACTAAGATCAAGAATGAAGATTTCAAGAAGGATCTGAAGAAGGCATTTTTAGATCAATGCGAATCTGTCAAGAGAATGTCAGAAACTTACAAGAACTACTCTGAGAAGAATTTCAAGTAAATAATAACGATATTTTCCAACATTTGATTATAGTCATGATGATATAGAAACTTATGATCAGTTTATGGAAAAATTACAAATTCATGAGGAAAGAGTTAAAAATCTAAATGAATTAGACAAATTACAGATGGTTTAAGGTGGATCAATTGGCACTAAAAGAGAGATTGAAAAACAGAGAAAACTTGCATTTGGACTGTAAACTAAAAGCCAAATGCAAGGTCTTGTAAACACTGTAGTAAAGGACTAAAAGATTTTAAAGTTAATGAAATTTGTAACGGATATCTTCAATTGCTGGGACTAAGATAAATATGAATTTATAACTTTGAGCGATTTGATAAGAAACCTAATTAACCTAGGATTTAGCTAGAATGTTAAATTCTTCATGCGAGCTTTTGGACTAATATTTTAAAGAGATTTCAAGTCAGGAGAAAAATTTACTTTATCTGATTTTCAAAAGCTATTTGATACAGTTCCTTAATATGATTAAGCTTTATACTAGATTGGCAGGCTTTATTTACAAAGACAGGAGATTTTGAATAAAACATTAAAAAGTAATAAACCACATCCTTTGAAAAACTCTGACAGTATAAATTTTGATGTGTATGGTCTGAATTAGAATTAAGACTCATATATCAATGATAGGTAGTAAGTTTATCTAAAGCAACTCGATAAGAAGCATATAGAAGTAAAATAAGGAATGAGAGTGGTGCAAAAACTATTAATTTTAAAGCAAATCATTGGAGACATATTTAAATATGCACCCTTGATGCTACTTAAAGATGACAAGAGCAATGATTAATAAAAGAAGGAACTGTATGTTAAGTAGAAGCTGGTGAGTGATCAGGAAATACAATAAAAATACAAGTAATGTTCGAATCACTTCAAAAGATTGCTTAAAATTCACTATAACAATCCTAAATAGTTGGAGGGCATTCAAGATGAAAACGTCAAAGCAATATTTAAATTCATGCTTGAAGAGAAAGATCATAGCTATTTCAATTTGAGGATGGATAGAGTGAATCTATTCTTTATGATATTGGATGAGTGGACCTAAAGCCAGCTCTGCCAAAAATAGTATGTTAAGCCTTATTAATTCATTGAGTTCTGCTGCTCAAAAACGCTTGAATTTTAATAGTCAGACATGACATAACTATTTTCTGTACTTTTAGGTGATAATCAAGAGAATGATTCGAGAACAGGTCTAGATTAGGCTAAATTCCTTAGAAATATCCTTAGATCTCTATTTAAAAATGCTTTTGAGAACATAATGGATTACTTAGCCAGTTAAAATGCACTCAAAGATGTCCTACCACTTACTTTATAGCTTAGTACTTATCAGAGACAGGTTATATTGAATTAGTATTCTAAGATTTAGTCAAACAATAATAGCATGAATACATTTGATTAAAACAAGAAAATGTCTAAGCTGTTTCATAGAAGTAGTAGCTAATTAGGCTAAGGAGATTAAAAAAGGCAGTTAACTTATTTTGAGATTTTGCAAAGATAGAAGGGGTAAAAGAAATATGATTATAATAAATGCGCATAAGATCTACAAAATGAAATGGAAAATATTTTGAATCCCTCGCCATAATAAATTGATAAGGAGCAGAGAGTTTCTATAAGGAAAAAGAAAATTCAGATGAATTAACAACTATTAAAGATGCTTGAAGCTACTGCTATTGAATCCTCTTCTGAAGACGATTAAAATGATTAGCAACATAGAAAAGACATAAAGGTATAAGAGCTTAATATATATAAATACTGAATGATTTTTTAATGAGATAATTAGATGAGTATTTTGCATTCAGGGGTTTTGGGGTTTTGGGGT